TTTTTAAAAAAAAAAAAAAAAAAAAACCATAATAGTTAAAAACAAAAATATATTTTACTCTAAAATAAAATAAGTTTTATTTATTTGAGTAAAATACAATAGACTGAAAATCATTTACTTCTTTATAGTAAGAATTTAATTATTATAATTTAAATTTAGTAATAATTAGTTTTTTATTGTTAAGATTTAATAGGATTATTTAAATTTGAAAAGGAATTAAATTCTTAAAAAACCTAATTAATTCTAAATGGGTTAGAAACCTAATTAATCAGAAAAATAAAAAATTAAGAGATTTAATAGACAAAATTCTTAAAAAAAAAGAAACAAATTTAATTTTTATATATACCATTTCAAATTCTCCATTAAAGCAACTGATGGGAATTGAAAAGGCTTGGAAAAAGAAACAGCATAAAAAACTACATTATGAAAATAAAAAGGAAAAAATAATATATAACTTTTTATTGGAATGAAAATAGTTTTTATTTTTGTTGGATGGATTTAGAGAGCTCTTGCTTTGATGATGTCAAAGCTCATCTCACTCGGATCAGTTGCCTGTAATTCAACTTGAATTCCATCCAACTCTCTCTTGAATCTATCCTTCGAGCTAGCATATAACATCTTACTTCTTATTTTCGACGTGTCGGGTGACCTACATAAACAAATAACAAAATTTTAAGCCGATAAATTACGGTAGAAATCAATTTAAATAAGAAATTTAATTCTAGAACGAAAAAAAGAGATTGGATGTTATGAAAAAAATGATGTGGGCAGATAATACCAGGCAATGAAGTAAATCTTGCTCTTCTGACAATTCTCATCAGTTGTGAAATCGAAATCAAAGACAGCATAACGGCACTCATTGGCAGGGATGGAAGCGGTGAAATCCGCATAGGTTTCATCGTGACCACCGACCTTCTCTACCATGACCTGCTGGATCCTCTCATCGATCTTGAACACTATGAACCTGTATTTTCTCTTGGCCTTCAGATCCAAAAACTTGAGCTTGCACTCATCGTGCACTGCCATTCCTGATGATGAATTTGCCTGTCAAGATTGCAACAAAACAAAACATCCTTCTCAGTTTTAGAACAAATGTAAGAGAAACTCAATCAAGAACAGAGACAGAAACATACCATAATGTCTGATTTCTGATGTCCCTCAATGAAACAGAGAGCGAGAAGAGAGAGAGAGAGAGAGAGAGAGAGAGAGATTTCGTGATTTATTTATGTATTTTGGATATCTCAAACTCTCCTTAGCCTTTGTCTGGTCTGACTAGCCTTGTAAGGTTCATGTCCTTCACGTACAAGGGTTGTGATTTTGAAGCTCTTAACGTTGTTATATTTAAGGTTATTTTGACCATGTCTTCCTCTTGTTTGGTTGGCCATATACCTCGCTGTTTCTGTTGCAAAATAACCCATTCATACAATACCTAATCTGCAGCTTAGAGAGAGAGAAAAAAGACCTGCCTAAATTTTGCCCTTTAAATGTTGAGAGCAAAATCTTTTTCAATCTGTATTTTGGGGTTTATTTCAATTGTTTGTTTAGATCTTTAGAACTAAACACACACACATGTATATGTATCTATGTGTGTGTATGTATGTATATATGTCTGTATATTCTACAAAACCTTGACGAGATGAAACATTATTATATACAAGTGCTAAAACCAATTGGAACTCTGCTTGTTTGTAAAATAAGTCAGAAATGAAGTTTTCAAGAAAGAAAATTTTATATGGATTTCTTCTATAGAGAATGTGAAGATGGGTCATCCTAAATCTATATATCTAAAATATTCCATAAAGAGAATTTGTGGGTCTACTTAGGGTGCCTTACAAAAGAAAAAATAAAACGTGATAAGGCTCAAGAGGCTTAACAATAAGCAAAGATAAATAAGCGCAAGCGGCTCAATAGCACATGAACTCTTATAAGTTTAGAGACTAGAGGATGAGCGCAGTAGATCTAAAGAGTATCAAAGTGAAGTGATGAACATGTCAAAGACAAGGCAATGAACACGAGTCCAACATAACCCATGGACGTTGTTGAGGATTATTGGGAGTGAGTCCCATATTGGCGGGAGTGAGTCCCATATTGGTTAATTTAGTGGAAGATCATGGGTTTATAAGTGAGAAATACTATCTCGGTACGAGGCCTTTTGGGGAAGCTCAAAGCAAAGCCATGAGAGCTTATGCTCAAAGTGGACAATATTATACCTTTGGGGAAAGTCGTGATTTCTAACAGACGTATAGTTTCTTACTTAAAAACCGAGTTTTTAAGGGCATACCAAAAAGAACAAGTGATAGAGCTTCTATCCTAGGACTCTGGAGATCTAACTTAAATTGTTCTGACCATTCAATCAATGCACCATAATGAGGCAAATAATGCAAAGGAATGTTACCCAGATTTTCTCCAAATCGAGGAGTTAATGGGAAACATAAGATTCTACACTGCCACCATTGCCAATCTGTGGAGAATGAGAATACAAATAATTCCATCCAATCAAACAGCACAACACGTTAAGTCAAAATGCATTCACGTTAGAACAGTCTACTCATAAAGAAATGAAATGATTCGATACAGCTGGTATATGATTCAAGATTGAGAATGAACTGGTTTACTTTTTGTTTGTACACCTAAGAAAGAAAGAGAGTTTCTTGACGGAGCAACAAGCTTTCGAGTTCAACTGATGGAATATTTTTTTTTTTAATACATTCTAGCTTCTCTTACTAGATGATTGAAGATTTTTTTTTAGCTTATTGCCTAGAATTGGAAGATTGCAAGTTAAATGGAGGATGAAACGACAATCACTTCCAAGAAACATGGATCTTACACAAAAGAACAAGAAAAAAACTGGCCGCTCCTGAGAGGAAACGTTTAAGTAACAAAAAGATGGGCGTTCAAGGGAGTCTTTCAAGAATTGAAGCATCAAACTTAAGAGAACAACGGGGTGGATTTATACCCATTCAGAGTTCAGGAATGAAAAACGAAATTACTCCATAAAGTACTGATGTATAAGAATCTCTTATAAATTAGATTGGAATCTGGGATTGAGGAGATTGAAGAGTGAGTGGAAGATCGAAGTTCACTAAAAAAGGAAGATTATCTTTCTGTCATAAATCACAAAACTAAATAAATATATCAGCTCACCAATGCAGGTCCTAGAAATACACACATCAAACCTCATTTATCAACTTGGTCTTCACTTTTTTTCCATTTGAAATCCTAAGAACATAATTATGCGAAAATAATAAGACATTCAAATGGAATTAATAGAACACTCATATGTTCAACCAAGGCAAGCAGATTTTGTTTCATATCGATCGAGTACTGCCTAATTTCCCAAATAATCATGCAGTAGGAAGTCATTGAGCTTCTCAATCCTAGTGGACAAAACGCTGGTGGATTTCGCTCTTGGAATAAGTGAAAACAAGAACATTACTCGTATGAGAAAATTTCTAAATTACTACGTGAAAACCAAAAAGGAAACAATAATCAATCTCTCCATCTTTCTAACTCAACGAAGCAGAAAATTCTACTTTTCTTGATTCAATAGAGAGAGAGAGAGAGAGAGTTACTTTCATCTTATTCTTCTTTGCTTGGAGCTTCTGCGGCATTTTCCTTTTCTTCTTTCTCCCCAGATCAATTCGTAGAAACATTGGCATAAGAACCACGAAAAAAATGAATGAACTGGAATAAACAAATGATTCTACAGATTAATCCAAGATTATAAGTTACTTTGAAGGTCGAATTCATGTCGCTTCTTCCTGCGCGCGAAAGATTATTCTTCGGTATATCGTTGGCCCCTGCCGCCCGGAATTTCCAAACTGATTTGCCTCGGGTCTCCGTCTTAAATCCTTGCCCGAATTTGTTTATAAACCGGGTCTGCCCATTCCGTCGTTCATTAACCCGACGACATATTGAAAAAAAAAAAGAAAAAATAAGGGCCCTACCGGGTTCGAACCGGTGACCTCTTGATCTGCAGTCAAATGCTCTACCACTGAGCTAAGGACCCTTTGATATGAATCAAACCGGGTCTGCCTATTTGATTATATATTAACCCGACGATCGATTTGGAAAAAAATAAAGAAACAAATAAGGGCCCTACCGGGTTCGAACCGGTGACCTCTTGATCTGCAGTCAAATGCTCTACCACTGAGCTAAGGACCCTTTGATATGAATCAAACCGGGTCTGCCTATTTGATTATATATTAACCCGACGATCGATTTAGGACCCTTTGATATGAATCAAACCGGGTCTGCCTATTTGATTATATATTAACCCGACGATCGATTTGGAAAAAAATAAAGAAACAAATAAGGGCCCTACCGGGTTCGAACCGGTGACCTCTTGATCTGCAGTCAAATGCTCTACCACTGAGCTAAGGACCCTTTGATATGAATCAAACCGGGTCTGACAATTTGATCATATATTAACCCGACGACCGATTTGGAAAAAAATAAAGAAACAAATAAGGGCCCTACCGGGTTCGAACCGGTGACCTCTTGATCTGCAGTCAAATGCTCTACCACTGAGCTAAGGACCCTTTGATATGAATCAAACCGGGTCTGCCTATTTGATTATATATTAACCCGACGATCGATTTGGAAAAAAATAAAGAAACAAATAAGGGCCCTACCGGGTTCGAACCGGTGACCTCTTGATCATATATTAACCCGACGACCGATTTGGAAAAAAATAAAGAAACAAATAAGGGCCCTACCGGGTTGATCATATATTAACCCGACGACCGATTTGGAAAAAAATAAAGAAACAAATAAGGGCCCTACCGGGTTCGAACCGGTGACCTCTTGATCTGGATTTGGAAAAAAATAAAGAAACAAATAAGGGCCCTACCGGGTTCGAACCGGTGACCTCTTGATCTGCAGTCAAATGCTCTACCACTGAGCTAAGGACCCTTTGATATGAATCAAACCGGGTCTGCCAACTTGATCATATATTAATCCGACGACCAATTTGGAAAAAATAAAGAAACAAATAAGGGCCCTACCGGGTTCGAACCGGTGACCTCTTGATCTGCAGTCAAATGTTCTACCACTGAGCTAAGGACCCTTCGTTGTTACGTTATGTCATTGTTATTACATATTCAATATAATAATAGAAAAATTAAATAACTTGTCTTAATAAATTAAATATTAACTGTATTTCAATTGTCTAAATTTAGTCAATTTAGTCCTAATAAATTTTAAATTTAGTTTTTCTAAATTAATTTTTTATAAAAATTAGTTACGTAGTACTAATAATTTTCCTGCAATAAAATATGATATGTAAATAGCTTTTCAAAATTTATAATCGAATTAACAAAATTTAAAGTAGAGGGAAAAAGTTAAATTATAATTACAATTAATGTATATTTATTTATTTAAACTATAATCAGATTCATATTTATAATAAAAAATAATTTAATTGTATTATTATTCTACATTAAACTTGAGATTAGACCACCGAACGATCCCAAATATCCCTATATAAACCGGGCGGTTTATATAGCGAACAAGCGGAAACGCGATTTCTTCTCCGTCGAAATGGTGAATCCGCGAACAGACAAGTTGCTGAGAAGAACAACTATGGTGGCCACTGTCACTGCTTCATACTTTCTCTTAACCGCCGATTATGGCCCTCAACCCAATTTTCTCGATCCTGTGAGTTCTCTAGGCATCTCTCCCTCAAAATTTTTATTATCTGTCTGGTTCGAAGCAGTAGGATCTTGGATCTTATGTAGGTTAGTTTCTTTTTACTATTCAGCAACCCAGGGATTTTTATCGTGCCATTGACGCGGATTTGTTGGTGTTCTTTTGTCTGTATTTTTCTGATGTGATTTCTGTTTGTCTATTATGGATTTCCGTTATCTAGACATTGATGAACTTCCTCTTATCTGTATTCTTTTCAAGCGAAATATGAATTGCGTTTGCAGTGACTTCGTTTCTTAATCAATTTTGCTTTTTATGCAACTCATATAGTGTAGTTCAAGCTCTTGGATTTCCAATCATATTTTACACGCTTATTGTTCTTAATTTTTGTTTAGTTGTCGTATATTTCGCCTTGTACTTGATTTAACGTGTAGAACCTAGGTTTTCTACATTCTTCGTCGGTCTTGTTTTCCTTGCTAAATTTACCATTGTTTAACACGATTTATATTTAGTTTATGAAATTTTCATCCATTGTGTTATAAATTTGTTGAGGCTTTAACATTTCAATACAGTGAGTTTAAATTAGATGGAAAATTTCCTTCCGATACGTTGTCAAATTGCTGAGAGTGAACATATACGTTCATCTGATCTCTTACAACAATCTGAAGTTTGTAGGTTTATGAGTTGCTAATTACCATTTGTTCTTGTTTTTGAGTCATCACTTCCAATGAAATTTATAGCTTGCTAGATTTGTCTGTCGCTCATAATTTCTTGATAGTCAAGTGAGATATGAAAACTAAGAGTAAAGAGTGAAGTTTCCCTTTCTATTCAGTTAGAAGCAAGAAGACTTGGCATTTAGTAAATTAATAATATAAGTTTAGGTGACAATTAACATGGTTTTACTTCTACATATTAACAACTGGAAGGCATTAGACATTTCAGTTCTTTGCCATAACAATAACTTATTGATCTACCGGTGTTCGATCGAATTTTCAGATGTCTAGAAGATTGTTCATATTGTTCTGAGTTCTAATGGCCTAATTTTGAATGGCAGATCAAAAAGTTTATACTGTCAACAGAAAGTTCTATTAAGGGTTTCATCTTTGGATCAAATAATCAATCTCAAGGAAGTCAAAGTGAGAAGCTTGGCTCCAATGGTGTCAAGGACAATCCATGATGCGTAGACTCGAGGATTTGGTTACGGTTTTATGCATATATATCTTGAATCTGCAGTTTTTGTTTATACATTTCGTGAAGCGTAGGTTGAGATCAAGCATGAGTAGACCTCTTGGAGGAGACGAATAATGTAGTTTGTTAGATTCTAAGGTGTTGAATGAATTTGTTGGTACCAACTTCATTTAGCATATTAACCTCAAGAGATTCAAATTACTTTGCATATTTTTGGATTGCTATGATATCATATCAAGTGGTTCTGAACTCCTGTAGTAAATGGAACATACTCATATTACCTGTAGTTATTCTAAACTCTTGTAAAAAAATGAACATAGTTCTGATTTAGGAACTTTAGAGGTGAAATGTGATTCTGTGCTGAAATGGTGAGTCAGCCCAAGCCCACGGGAACGTGCTTTAAAAACCATGGGGCTGACGGCTATACGTAACAGGCCAAAGTAGACAATATTTGGTAGCGTTGGGTTTGGGCTTATTACAATTTTCCTATTGTATACAGATTTGAAAGGAATCCAATGATGCTTTCTCAAGAACAATGAAGTTACTATCTTGGCTCGAACGAATGGAGAATAGAGGTATTAAGAAAATGGATTTTTGGATGATCTAAAACTTCCATCCCTTTTGAGGGCCAAATACCTTTGATCGTGTCAGGTGTAAAAGAAAAATGAAAAAAAAAAAAAAGTAACTTTTAGAATTACAAACTTCGTCCTTCCAACTTTTATATAAAACTTTATATAATATTGTTTCATTTCATATAAAATTCAATTCAAAATTAGTTAATAAATAATGTTAGCTGGGCCTACAATTGGGCCTATGATTGGGCCGATGGGCCCTATTGGTTTACATTCAAGTTTCATCAATCGGGCTTCGAGACCCGACTGGTTGAAGCGCGGGCTGTGCACTTCTCTTCCAATCGATCTCACAATCCCATTCCATTTCCACTTCGAACTTTCAAATTTCGAATTCCCTTGCGCTCCAAAATCCCAAGATTAGCATTCCATTCGATTCCAACACACAACTGAATTTCGTTTCTCCCTCTGATCTTCCGCTCCTACTTCTCTAGAAACTGGCTGTGGTTTCAAAACCGAACATGTCCCCAGCCAATCCCGGTGAAGACGCCGGTGTTTCTGGATTTGAATCCCAAGAAACGGAGCCTGATTATGAGGTTGAAGAGCTGGAGCTTGAAGTGAATCAAATAGCTCTGAGGATTCATCACTACAGATCCACTCTGTCGGCTCAGCTAAAGTCCTCCTTCTTTTCGTTACTCGAGTCCTCGAGGCCTCTCCCCATTGGAGCCTCGGAGCTGGGAACATCTGCTGCTCGTCCGGATCATGAAGGTCGGATTGTGTGCCTCTAATTTTATTTAGTTGCTTCACGTTTTTCTTTCTTGCTTGCTTGGAACTGGTAGATTTGCTGACTGAGAAAATGAAGTGAAAGTTTCTTTGTTTTGAATACACATTTAGAAGTGTTAAATTGGGGCGAGTGGAATGCATGTTGTTCTGAATTATTTGATCTGCAATTTCTACATGTTCTACTGCCAATTCAGGTAGATAGAAGGTTTCTTTTGGCTATTGAACAAGGCAACATTATGTAACCAGCGAAGGCTTCCCTTCTCTGTCCTTCCTGTAAATTGCATTGGGTGAAGGCTTCTGTTCTTCTGTTGGTTGTAGTTTATAAAGTATGGTACTTGTTGATTGTTTGTTTAAGTTCTTAAGAAATATTTGATGATATTTTTATATGTTTAATTTATGATCTATGTTCAAGTGAGTTTAGTTCTCAAAAGTGAGCATAGCTCAACAGTTCTCGACATGCAATTCTTCTCAAAGTTTTAGAATCAAATTCTCATTCCCCACTTGTTATACTAAAAAAGTGAGTGAGTTTAGTTAGACGGTAACTCCTCACTACTTTTGAAGCTTTTGGGCCATTTGGGAAAGCCACCATTAAATCGAGCTAGTTTTTCACTATGTAGGCTGTTCTTGCTGTTTGGGGGTGAGTCTATCATCCTCAGGGGGTAATTCTTTCAGTAACAATCATTCTAATGCAGCTGTTGCATCACAAGTTAAACAAGAAAGACATAATTCTTGCTTTAAGCCAAGGGTGTTGTTAGGCAGTCCTGTGAGCTCTGAGTTGAAAGAAATTCTAGGATTTTACTAGATGATCTTTTCGGTATACCCTTTTTGTATTTTTGTTGATTCGGGTCATTTTTTGCAATAATAGATGATGCATATTTCGATCGATTATGCCAACCTATTATTCGAGCAAGTATTAACTTTTTGGACTCGTAAGTGAGCATTGTATGGCAATGAAGCATTATTTCCTACAAACTTCTATTCTGATTGAGAAATCACTCTGTTTATGCAGATGATGAACAAACCACCACAAGAGGTGAAGGCGCAGTTCATGAAGAGGGTTTAGAAACTGCGAAGAAGATACAGTTGCTTGAAGATAAAATATCAAGTAACATCATCCTGATCCCTACAGTTCTTAAGAGGATGAAAGACTGTATTTCAACTATTGACAATTTGGCTTCTTATAATGGGGTCATTCATCCTGCATTCAAAAGGAAAAAAACTAGCTGAATTTAACTCGTACCTGGCTGTTACTTAACAAGCGAGTCTCGAGTGTAGTATGGTTATCGAGTTTGACGTGTAGTGTATTGATCTTTACATTCTGTTGTCGAAAGGGCTGATTTCTCAACCATTTGCTTCCTGGTATGTAACATAACCTCCTGTCTATAACGTTATTGAAGACAATAGTTTTCCATCTGTTGCTGTATAAAGTTCTTGAAATATTGAAATAGGAAGTTTTATGCCTATTCCTTCAACTTCTCTAAAGTTCTACTCCTATTTGTTTCGCACGACGCAGCCTGCAATTATCGATATCATTTACGACCCTAAAATATATAACTTTCCTGCGATTATAGTGATAGGAACAAGAACTTGTATATATTGATAAGAGAACATTAACAAAGTATCAATTCTCCAATATTTCATTGAAAGAGTATATACATTATGGTATTGCATGAGGGCAAGTTTGTCTATCAGGTGGTGGGCAGCTTAAATTGTTACACATTTACAGGAAAGTACATCAACATCAGAATCTAATCTTGGTATAGAGGAACTCACCATCAACCCTTCCATAGTCCTTGCGTTGTCAACATTAAAGATGACACTGCTGAGTCCCTTCCCCACGACGACAATTATTTTCCCGACAGCGACGAGTTGACATGGCGGTCTCGTTAGAAGGGCAGAAAATCTCCCCACTGGAATCCATTCCTTGACTTCATTGTTCCACATCATCAATCTGGTTCCAGAACTTTGATCCAAAACATAAAGAGTTTTGTCTACAATAACCGCTGGACCTCGCCATCCCGAAACCATTTCTGAGTCACTGTGCTCCCACGTTCCACTCGATGGGTCGTAAACCAGAGCATAAGCTTGAGAGTCCACATGACGTTGACGAATATAAATCTTTCCATCCATCACAATCGAACTTTCAATTTCGTTCTGAATATTTGTAATGTCCAAGCAAGGTTCCCATTTGTTGGTGCATGGGTCATATATGTCCCAAGAGTGTCGATCACCTGAATTGGAACATAAGCCCCCAATGGCATAAAGCTTTTCATTTAAGACTTCACAAGCAAAGTAGCACCTGTATATGATGATGATAATACAAGCATTAAGGTAAACTTCATAAAGTTGTGCATAGGCAAATATGTTGCAACTTCTTTGTGAGATGCTACAAGAAACCGAAAGGTTAATATAATATTTTCAATCTATATACTTCCGGACTTGTTTTATTGCAATCTCTACGCTTTCAAATGTCCAAATTTAGTCTTTACATTCACAACAAAATATAAGATTCGTCTAGATTTGTAACGGCTCAGCTCCACCACTAGCAGACATTGTCTTCTTTGGGCTTTCCCTTTTGGGGTTCCCCTCAAGGCTTTAAAACGCGTTTGCTAGGGAAAGGTTTCCACACCCTTATAAAGAGTGTTTCGTTCTCCTCCCCAACCAATGTGGAATATCACAATCCACCCCCCTTCAGAGCCCAGCATCCTCGCTGGCACTCGTTCCTTTCTCCAATCGGTGTGGGACCCCCACTAAATCCACCCCCTTCAGGGCCCAACATCCTTACTGGCACACCGCCTCGTGTCTACCCCCTTCGGGGAACAACTTCCTCGCTGGCGCATCGCCCGGTGTCTGGCTCTGATACTATTTGCAACGGCCCAGGCCCACCGCTAGCAAATATTGTCCTTTTTGGACTTTCCCTTTCGGGCTTCCCCTCAAGGCTTTAAAACGCATCTGCTAGGAAAAGGTTTCCACACCCTTATAAAGAGTGTTTCGTTCTCCTCCTCAACCAACGTGGGATATCACAAGACTATGAGTTTATGCTTTAAATTTTACCAAAAGAACTGTCTCTATTAAGTCTTCCCTCCAGAAATTTAGAAACATATAATCATTACCTAGCAGATGACAATGGCGCAACTGAACTCCAGCTATTTGTGGAAGTATCATAGCAGTAAACTTCATCAGTAGCATCTTCAGACCAACTGCAACCACCTAATAAGTAGAGCTTCCTTCCCATTGCTTCAAACCCCATACCCTTCCTCTTAAAGCTGCAAGATGGTAAACTCTTCATCTGTTTCCAACGCCTTTTTGATGAGTTAAGATCCAACACATAACACGAAACTTGTTCAGACTTGTCTCTACACAAAGCATAGATCCAAGTCTCAGCAAGATCATTCTTTTCACGGCATGAATACCACTCTTCGCTGTTCACAAGATCCTTCCATCTCTTTGAGACAGATTTCAGATTATGATGGTATTTTCGAGGAACCCTTGAGAGGATAGAAAGAACAATGTCATCTGGCAGCCCAGGTATCAGCGATCGCCCTGTCGGTGGGATCAATTCTTCAAAACCACTTGGACCTAAAACACTGTCCATAAGTCCGATCGAGAAGTTTAAGCCATTAAACGACTCCTGAAAGGTCAAAAAAAGAATGTGTATTGCTCAGAAATCCTGCATCAAAGAACTCAGAAGAGTACAATTTATATTCCTTGAGCTTAACAAAGCATGATAACCACCACAAGCTATTTCAAGCCACACAATCAGGAAGCCCATGAATCTGTCAAAAATAATCCGAAATCATTACCCTTTTGACACAGTTCAAAACATTCCAGAAAAAATTTCACCATTCTAAATTTGTAATCTAATCATCTTTTACGACTCATTTTCTGATCATTTTTACCAATTGGGCTTAGCTTATGTAATTGTTTTATCCATTTAACAAAAAGGCATCAAGCAGAATGTCTCAGCCACATTGTTTGAATCAGCAGCATGTTCAAAATAAGGTATACAACATGCGCTTTCAACCAGATCATTGAAGAAACAACAATCATTTCAGTTAATAACATTATAAACTGAAGTAATGTTATCGTTCTAAACATAGTAAAGCATCTTCGAGTATGCCTGTAAGTTTATCAAAAGCTTCTACAACCTACGTTTTCCTATTCTCTCGTCTGGCTTACGTTCTTCATGGATCATTCAAACAAAATGACTCTATGAAATTACATCTTTACTTCAACATCTTGCAAGTAACATATGAGAAACAAGAGAGCCTTCTGATTCTATTGGTGCTTAAAACAATTAAGTATTCTCCATATTACTATATCTCTAGAGTCGATAACTTTAAAGGAACTATTGAATTCAATCACTATTTGTCGTTATTCTTCAGTTTTCCGTTGAGATATTTAAATTGGATCAGTGAGCGATTTTAGGGTTTGTAGTAAACTAAATTGGTTACTTCCAATTTCGTAAATCAATAGTTCAAACTAGGAAATTTCTAAATTTTATAGGAACTTCCCAATTACTTCAGAAACTACATCTAACCTTGTTCACCTACCTTGAAACCCATCCTGATATTAAGAAAGTCATCAAGAAATTAAGGAATTGCTTGAGAAAACTTGTTTTTTAAGGACAGAGGTTCAGGGAAAATAACTTTGAAAAATCAACTTACAAGCAAATTGAAAAGTAGTTCGTGAAAACAATTTCAGCAGCAAAAATCAAACCATTGTTTTCAAAAGTCTTCCAGAAACAAGCCATTACAGTTTCACTTTCCATTTCTAGTTCCTTGAAGCTGTCGTATATGTATCTAGAAATTAGTACCGAAAACTATTTGATCTTTAATTCCAACAAATCCTCACATACTAAATGGATCAAGCAGGACCGATTGAAACCATAATCTGATCTCAAACACAGCCTGCATTGCACATACAGAACGAGAATTATCTAGTTCACCGAGGTTGACAAACAAATCAAACACTGAAGGCATCAAAAGATAACAAGCCAAGAAAATAGTTCGAATCAAAACCTTAAATCTTAAAAGAAGATGAAAATGTCGAACTCACCGGAGAAATTGATTCGAAAATTCATGGGATAGATCTGATGGTAACGGAAGGTGCTCGTGAAAGGAAATCAGACGGAAGCACGCAAAGGCAAATCTGCGTGTGGGGGTAGATTTGTCATTAGACCTGCTGAGTTTTTTTATTTTTTATTTTTTTTTATTTTTTTCGGTAAAGTAAGTTTAAATTTCAATTTTAATACGGATGTAGGCTTCTAAAATAAAATTTGTGTCATAAATTAAAAAAATAATAATAAATAAATAATTGGTGTGTTTGACCTAAATTAAAATTCTATATTTAATAATTCATAAATTTTTTAAAAAATTTAAAAATTGCATAGACTAAATTTTGTAATTTTAAAAGTTGTGAGACTAAATAGTTTATAAATTAAATTTAAATTTTAACTCAATAACTTCATCTAAGTTAAAGTCATACGAATAATAATGTAAATAATAATTTAACTTGATTTTATTTTATTGGTTAAATTAAGAGGCAACATTGTTGCATTGGGTTTATGTTATATATTGTTCATACTTTGGAGAGTACTTGTGAAATCAACGAGTATTGGATACTAATGTAAAGCAATGTTTTATATGGCCATAACTTTAACTATGATTTGCTAAGTTACGGCAAAGCAATATGCTATTAAACGTATTTTTTCTACATCGTTTACATTTAGTGTTTAGTCTAATTTGACCGTCAATATAGTTTGACATCGTTTAGAAGGCACTCTAAATCAAAAGAGGAAAAACGAACCTTTCTCAAAATTCAACAATAAATAAATGTGATATATTGAATCTAAATATAATTTGTTTTTACCATCTATAAAGTTCCTCTAATTTTATGGTAAAAAATGAACTACATTCGTATTTAATACGAATGGAACTATATTAAAGTTAGTCGAAGATTTTAGCTTTCTTTCTTACAAAACATAATGTATTGTATTTTAAATCTATATGACGAATCCAAAAATCTATAAAACAAAAAAATATATGAATAAACTAAGAGAGTTTCGAGAGAGGAAAGCAATCACCGCACATCTAAACACGAAATACCATAAACATAGTTGTATGCTGTACATAGTTATTGCTTTAGATATTGAACCTTTGAAAGCTCACCATAATATTCTGCTAATTTGGAGAAGGGAAAAGGAATGTAGTCTGTGTTTTTTCTGCAGCCATTCATATGGACAAATAGTACAGAATAGTATAGGTTGAAAGCTACCACATTAGATGACACACTTCATAGCTTTGAGGCTGGAGAGGACTTGGGTGCTCTCGCCTTCCGAATAACGCCTTCTTGAGTCAACGAGACGACGAGCTGCTCATTATTTGCACAATTCAGTTCCTGTCATAACAGATAGAGAAAGGAACATATGGTAGTTAGCTTCGTTACCTCGCCCTTTTGGTTGAACATCTCGCCCTTAATGA